TGTAAGTAACGTAAAGTAAGGTTAACGTAAACGTAAGTTAGGTTTTACGTTAGTAAGTAAGTTAGTCTATAGTATTACCTACTAACTAACCGTACGACTATAGTAATACTACTACCTACTATATATATATATATATATATATATATATATATACCAACCAGTAAAGCCACAAATAATAGCTTTAGCTACATCTTGATCGTGGGCTCCAAATACTTTGCATGCAGTAGCATACATAGTCATGTGTTTCATTATATTTAGAATTTGGTGGTCAGACACTCCATTTATATTCCAGTTAACAATTGTTCATCCGGAATATGAAAGAGTATGAGATACAAGATCTTCTTCAAACTGTATATCTACAGGAGTCGGTCTTGTATGGTACATTCTAGATAGGGATACTGGTCGCCATTTTTTACCGTAATCTATTCTATTGATATTAGTTTCTTAGGATGATTGCATAAAAGCATCTTTAATATTCGTAATATTATTTGGTATTTCTGGTATCTCATGTAACATCATGGTTGATGGTTCTGTTATTTTTATTGTTGTTTCTGCTTTATTTTTAGCTTTATCTTTTAGTTCTAGCTGTGCTAATTTATTAAAAATAACTGTAATGTCAAGAAAAAGATAGAATCCCTCAAATTAGATGAAAATCTACGAAATCAATTATATGAAATAATTCAGCTTAATGAAAAGGAATTCAGTACAACCTCTTCCGACTATACTGATAGTTCTGATGATGAAGAATCAAATATAGAACTAATAAAAGATGAAGATTTTCTATATGAGACTTTTTCTTCATCTGAAAAAGATATAAACTGTTCTTGTAACACTCTTACCAAAGAAGATACTTTAATCCTTGAAATTATAGATAAAATTCCTAACCTTGAAGATAAAAGAACAATAATTAGTCAATACATTCAAATCGTAAAAACACGTAATAAACCAACACCATTAATAAAACATCCTGAAGAATATAGTTACTCTAACATACTTAAACGAGTTAGTCAAAATAACAATATTCAAAAGGAACGTACTATTGCTGAACTAAAATATGAAATTAATGAAGTAAAATCTAAACTAAACAACTCAAAGAACATAATTAAATTATTAGAATTAACCGAATTAACGGATAATCCTTCTGATGATGAAGAAGAACTAGAATTTGCTAACTTATTACATAACGTAGAAGATAAACCTGAATCCTCTAAACAAGAATCTCTAATAAATTTAATTAACAAAATATTAAACCAAAAATGGTATACATTAGTTAAAATAATAGTCCAGAACGAATATAATTTCCAAACCTTAGCCTTAATAGAATCCGGTGCTGATTTAAATTGTATAAACTAAGGATTAGTCCCCACAAAATATTTTGATAAAACAACACAAATATTAAATACAGCCGATGGAAGTAAATTAAAAATAAACTATAAATTATCTAATGCTGCTATATGTAATAATAATATTTGTTTAGAACTACCATTTATTATGGTCAAAGGACTCAACCAAGTTGTCATTTTAGGAACCCCATTTATCAGTATGTTATATCTGATGGTCATAGATCATACCGGATTAGAATCAACAATAGAAGGAATAAAAGTTAAATTTGAATTTATTGATAAACCACAAATCAAAGAAATAAATAATGTAAAACAAAACATACAAAACAAATAAAAATTCTTATATCAATTAAAAGCTGAAATAAAATATAAAACAATTGAAGAACAATTATTACTACCTGAAATTCAAAAAATAATAAATAACATTAAACATCAACTTGAAAAAGAAGTACGTAGCGATTTACCTACTGCTTTTTGGAATCGACATAAACATATAGTATCACTACCATATGGAGAATGCTTTTCTGAATCTAAAATACCAACCAAAGCCCGACCAATCCAAATGAATACAAGAATGTGAGAAATATGTAAGAAAGAAATAGATTCTCTCTTAGATAAATGATTAATTAGGTCTAGCTCATCACCTTGGAGCTGTGCCGCCTTCTACGTAGAAAATAATGCTGAAAAAAAACGAGGAGTTCCCCGATTAGTTATCAATTATAAATCTCTAAACAAAGTTTTAAAATGGATTCGATATCCAATCCCTAATAAAAAGGATTTATTAGATAGACTTTTAAATGCCTGTATCTTTTCAAAATTTGATTTAAAATCAGGATATTGGAAAATACAAATTAATGAAAAAGACCGATATAAAACGGCATTTAATGTTCCTTTCGGACAATATGAATGGAATGTTATGCCATTTGGATTAAAAAATGCACCATCTGAATACCAGAAAATCATGAATGATATATTTAATCCCTATTTGAAATTTATCATAGTTTACATTGATGATGTTCTTATTTTTTCTATTGACATACATCAACAATTTAAACATTTAACTATCTTCCTTAATACTGTAAAAAATGCAAGACTTGTAGTCTCTGCTAAAAAATTAGTGTTTTGCCAAACAAAAATTCGATTCTTAGGACATAATATATTCCAAGGAACAATCATTTCCATTGATAGAGCCATTGAATTTTCTAATAAATTTTCTGATGTAATTTTAACAAAAGTCGAATTACAACGCTTTTTAAGTTGTTTAAACTATATAGCAGATTTTATTCAAGACTTTGCTATTATTGCTAAACCATTGTTTGATCGCCTAAAAAAAAATCCCCCAAAATGGACAGAGCAACACACTAATGCTATTCGAATCCTAAAAAGTAAATCAAAAGAATTACCTTGTTTAGTGTTATCTAACCCTACCGCCTTTAAGATTATTGAATGTGATGCTTCAGAACTTGGTTTATGTTAGATCGGTGCAGAGAGATAACCCTTTTACGCATATTTCGGCTGATAGTTCTCCTAAGGTAAAGATAGGGAAGGCCGGAGATGAATTTTTCTTTCCAGTGATCGGCACTACTATCTTCACGTATTAAAAGGCGAGAAAAGAAAACATCTTTATACCATTTATAGTGGGAAAGAGTTGGACAGCGAAGTATATATATATATATATATATGGGAGTGGATTCCATACGTCCACGGGTTGACTGTTATAGTAAACCCCATGGGCAAGATTGAATGAAATTCATATTCTTGATTGATAATAATTTTAACTATAACAAACCACTTTTGAGTTATTATTTTATTTAATATATTCACAGATATATTAGTGTCTATTTCTTCTATTTTTATTCCTGATGTTTCAGGTGTTTCTACTAATTGGGTGAATTCAATTTCATCTGAATCAGTTATTTCTCCATTATCCTCATTTTGTAATTCTAATACTTTAATTCAATTTTTGAGATGGTTTATTTCTATTTTTACCTCATTGACTTCTTGTTTTAATT